CTAGCCTTAAAATCATCATTAGCCAACAAAGTAGATTAGGTAAAAAGAACTAAAATTTTAAGGAAGCTTTATGCAGATTAATTATGGTTAATTTTGTTATTACTATTATTATTATTACTAAATTTCATATGTTCATTGATTTAACTCCTACTAAGCTAGGATGCTGAAACTAAGCAATTAGTACATGGCATCTAATTTTAAAATCTACCAGCATTAACCTTTACAATTCTGCATTAACCTTCAGAGTTGTATCCACATTAATTTGGGGTGTGGTAAATTTTTGAATGGTGGGTATATTACTAGCAATGTAACTTTTAGGGTTTTAGAGTAATTATTATAAAATGTTCAGGGTATTTGCATGAAAGGATGTTGAAAATGTAGACATATTTTTTTTATTGTACATATAATCAATTTTGAGAAAAAAAAAACATGAATTATCAACAAGATGAAGATACGACAGCCTACTCATCACATTGTGAAAACCTTGCATATATATAAAAGGGTATCTGTTGTCCAGTAAGACAAATATGAAGGCCGCTTTGTGAAACCTATCAACAAAATCAAGGTCAAAAATGCTTTTGTTTCTTCCAAGCAAATGTTTTTCCATATGATGTAATTTTGTTTTCATATTGTTCATATACTGGTTAGTTTCCACTACCATTAACTGAATAACTTCACCTAATAAAAAAAGATGAAAAATGTCTACCTCACTAGCTTCTCGATCAACATTTGTAGGTTCAGGAGTATAGGAAAGCTCTGTTATTCATGGATGATCATATTCTTGTGATGGTTTGAAAATTCCTCCTTCTTGGTTGGAATTCCTTTCAGTTTCACTGTCATACACATCACCAATATCTGTGTAGGTAAATCTGAGAAATTCTTCTGTGTCACTCTCACTGTCCATGAAAAGTTCCTCTATCGATGTAACAGATCCATGCCTTGCTCTGGCAGTCACCATTGTGATAGAAAAATGAACATTTTTAAAAACACTTTATTAAAATTCACTGATAAAGCAACTATTTCAGTTCGGACAAAATGGCTGACATCCAGGCATTCCAAGTTCATAACACAAGCTTAATGATGTCATGTCTGTAGTAATAGGTTATTTTTAGAAATGTACTTTCCCTTTGAAACAAAGCACTGCCACTTGGCAAACATGTCTGCCCAGAGAATATTGAGAATGAGTTTCACTAGCAGACATGTATACTTGTAGAGTTGTAAATGTTAAGATCATCATTAGCCAACAACAAGGTAAAAAGGACTAACATTTTAGAGAAGTTTTATGTGCTAATGGGTTAATGTTGTTATTATTATTATTAGTAGTAGTAGCAGTAGCAAATTTCATATGTTCATCGATTTAATTAACTCCTACTAAGCTAGGATGCTGAAATTAACCAATTAGTGCATGACATCTAATTTTAAAATCCATCAGCCTTAAAATCATCATTAGCCAACAAGGTAGATGAGGTAAAAAGAGCTAAAATTTTAAGGAAGCTTTAAGCAGGAATGGGTTGATGTTGTTATTATTATTGAATATATAATAAAACCTTCGGGAAATGAAAAATCCCTCTCTTCTGATATGAAGTACTAAATTAGTTTTGAAAAGGCATGCAACCTTCAACCTTTTTTAGGTGATTCTTTGAAATCTAGAGGGTGGCCCCAAACATTTGGCCCATAGTGTATATGCATTTATAATTGAGTACTTTGTAAAGTATTAATTTGTTTGTTTGAGTGGTGGGGGTAGCTAAACCATCTGAGTATTGCTTTATAGTGTGAAAATGGAAGTCAAAGTGAAGTTTTGTATCTCTTGTGTTTTTAGATATTTGAATAGTGTTGAAAAGTTCTCAAAATCTAATCAAATGACCAAGCATGAATTTAAAAAAAATTTTTTTTATTATCTTTTCTTGGTATTGGCTTATCTGGGCGAATAACTTTTCAGCACCCCTCTCATATGAGCTTACAAAGCAATTGTTTTGTCTCTTTCTCTTTATGAACATCTATTCTGGATAAAATACCAACATCACAGCATGCTTTCTTGAATGCATTCATCAGCAGCATACACTGCAATGATTTCCTTGCAAATTCTGGACTTCTCCAGACAGCCAGTGCCACAAATACTGTATGCTGCAAAAGTGTTCTCTGATATGTATAGGCTATGTGGCAAAGATGGAAGATTATTTCCTTCCATTAATGTTCCTGTTTAGTGAAACAAGAGGATACTATAGAAAAGATTCAAGAAATGCTTAAAAAGAATTCTTAAAAATGAAATCTGCCACCAAATAGACATGGAGATTGTTGTGTCATAAATAGGAAAGGTTGACACACACATAAAAAATAAGTAGTAGTTTATTCTGGAGAATAATATGCTACACAGATGAGAACACAGACTAATGTAATAAACAGTTGATCGTTAATTCCTCTCATTCAGTAAAAGTGAGTGTTGTTTAAATAGTCTTAGACCAGCTCATCTTATGGGGGTGTTCAGCTACTCCACAACAGATATATTAACTTTAACAGGCAAGGCTGAGAAAACATTAATCTGATTTTAAATTTAAAAGAAAATATAACATCTCGGATTTTGACAGATTCTTTTTTTATTTTTGTTAAAAAAAGTATATGTCTAAAATATATCAGTTTGTAAATGTTTTAACTGTATTTAATAAGTAGAATAACTTGGCAAACTGAAATATTTGCTGTAAAGAAAACATCAAAAATTTGTAAAGCACAAAAAAAATTTCCTCCTTGTGCTCACATGAATACACTCTTCATTTGTGCACATAGATTTATTAAATAGGTACTTGTGCAAAAGCTAAGCAAAGTATTAAGAAACAGGAAAATTTCATTAGAAACAAAAAATAGTCCTGAGCTCAGATGTAATCTCAATCCTCCCTTATGGCTGTGAATACTGGACAATTTCTTTGCAGATTAAGAGAAAACTGAAGGTAATAATGTGGTTCTACAGAAGGATACTGAGAATACTATAGAACCTGTGAATAGGAAGTTTTAAAGAAAATGGAAGCAGAAGGACATCTGTATTTATCATCAAAAAGTGATAGTTGAAATTTCTGGGACACAGTTAGGAAAGAGGGTTTGGAGAATTTGACACTCACAATATAATGAGGGTCAGGGAAACAGCGGTAACCTATTTAATGAGGTTGTATAAATGGAAAGCAATACAAGGACTGGGATGAGAGGGACAGTAAAAAGACAGATGCTGCTAAGAGTTAAAAATATAGGAAATTGTGAAGAGCCATAATCACCTATATAATAAAGGGACATGGCACATAAAAAAATACTTGTGTATCTCTCTTCATTATATCACTGGCTTTTGTCTGTCTTTTTCTTTTTGGCCTTTCTATCAAATGCACATTCTTTATTGCAAAGGCATTGTTTTGGGGTTGACAAAAGACTAAACCATTGACACCATTCAGTGGTAGTTATTTGAAAGTTACTTTATACAGCATTCTAAAATTACTCAAACTCTTACTTATCGCAGATAAATAGATTTTATTTGGGAGAAGATCTGTATAAGTACCAAAAAGAATCTGCTACATTTCTTGAAGCAAAAGAAAAGAAAATGAAAAATGTTTACATAAGCAATTGATAGTGAATATAAATTTACTTTATACCTCAAATACCTAAGTCTTTCTTAAGAATTATTATCCTATGTAATCTCTCTCTTGGTCTGTCCCTGTGCCTCTCTTTCTCTCTCTCGGCCTGTCTATGTGCAGGGATCTCTCTCCTGCACTCTCTCTCTCTCTCGGTCTGTCCACGTGCATCGTTCTCTCTCGGTCTGTCCACGTGCATCGATCACTCTCTCTCTCTTGGCCTGTCCACATGTTCTGATTCTGATTCTCTCTCTTGACCTGTTCATGCACATTAATTCTCTCTCAGTCTATCCATGTGGATGGATCTTACTCTCTCATTCTCAGCCTGTTCACATATTGATATCTTTCTCTCTCTCTCAATCTTTCCATGAGCATTGATCTCTCTTTCTGTCTGTTCCTATATACCAATATATCACTTTGTCTGTCTGTGTGTCAATCTGTCTAGCTGTTACTGTGCACCACTCACCATCTATCTATATGTTCCTGTAGGTCAATCTATATGTCTGTTCCTGTGCATCAATCTGTCTGTTCCTATGCATTAATCTGTCCATCCGTCTGTCTGTTCCTGTGCACTAATCTGTCCATCTGTCTGTCTGTTCCTGTGCACCAATCTGTCCATCCGTCTGTCTGTTCCTATGCACTAATCTGTACATCCATCCGTCTGTCTGTTCCTATGCACTAATCTGTACATCCATCTGTCTGTCTGTTCCTATGCACTAATCTGTACATCCATCTGTCTGTCTGTTCCTATGCACTAATCTGTACATCCATCTGTCTGTCTGTTCCTATGCACCAATCTGTACATCGATCCGTCTGTCTGTTCCTATGCACCAATCTGTACATCGATCCGTCTGTCTGTTCCTATGCACCAATCTGTACATCGATCCGTCTGTCTGTTCCTATGCACCAATCTGTACATCGATCCGTCTGTCTGTTCCTATGCACCAATCTGTCGATCCGTCTGTCTGTTCCTATGCACTATTCTGTCCATCCATCTGTCTGTTCCTCTATATCGATCTATCCATCTGTCTGTTCCTCTGTATCAATCTATCTGTTTAGCTAATTCTGTTCATACTATTTATTTAGGTCAGTCTGTTTAAATCAGTCTGTCTCTCCCCATGGGTCTGTTCAGCTCAGTCTGTTCAATATTGTTTCCTCCCAGTGGAAGTATGCTTGCCATTTTTCATGTGTTGGTCTCGTAATAATGTGATCACTGCATGATACCTAAATACCTTTATCATGTATTTTCTCGCTCTTCATTTTTTTTTTTTTATATTTTCCTCTTCCTCCTCTAATTTTTTCTTTGCTTGATGTTATTGTTTCTTTTTTTTTTTTACTTTTTTTTTTGCCCTTACTTTTATTTTTTTTTATATATACCTGCCCTGGTTGCAGATATATTTAGCTCCTCCTCCTGCAGTAGTTCTCTGGCCAGTGACACACCACAGCTTATTTCTGTTATGAAATCGCACACTTCCCCTGCCCTACACATTTATAACGGTGTGGGAATGTCGACTGGCCTGGACCTCCCCACTTGTGATTGCAACAGTCACCTGTCCAGCCGGTTGTCATCATCATCATCATCATCATCGTCCAAGTGCCGACTGAGTGGCCCTTCCACCTCTGGCTCCAAACACTACCACTACAAGAAGCACCATCGACGGGCCTCTTCAGGCGATAAGTGGAAAATACAAGTTAGCCAGGAACTAAAGGCTGAAATTGCAAAATTCTCGAGCAAAGGTTGGCTTTATTTGTTCATTTGAAAACAAAACCAAAATGATACTACTCTTGTTTCTTGTACTCTCAAACTTTTATTACTCAGTTTTTATTTTGTGTATCAATTTACTTACGTTTATTTTATTTAAGAGGTTTTTTTTTTCTTTCATTGTTCAACTCCAGTGCCAAAATGAAGCAATTTTTCTCTAATGTTGAAAGAGCTGTTTGAAGTATTGATCACATTATTTTTGTTGCTCTTGTTGTTAATACAAAATTTTGGCTGATTCATTCTTCCACCTTCCTCAGGTATTGAAATCCATTTTGAAAGACGGAAGGTATTTTTTTTTTTTTTTGTTTAAAATTATTCAGTTTTTACTATTTCAAAACTGTCCTTCCATCTATTATATTGAGTCATAAATGATTTCAAATTTATTCTTCAAAAAATAAAGCATAATTACATTTCATTCTGTTATATATTTGCCATTACTTGCAATGATTTGTTGCCAATTATCAGGCAGCTCTTCAATACCTTTTGAATAAAATTCTGCAGGTTTTGATTCAAGATTTTGACAAACAATTGAATCTAGTTTTCATTAGAGAGAGTCTTCCCCATCAAATCATTTTGCAGTGATCATAAAAGGTAATAATTTGTTTGGGGGCAAGATCAGGTGAATATAGTGTGTGGGTGAGTTTCAAAATATCTCCTGTCTTAGTCTTTCTATATGCAACTTTGTGAACAACATTTTTCCTATTGACAAACATAGCACGCTTTTTGACCAAACTTTTATAGATGCATTGCAGCTGCTGGACATATAAATGTGCATTTAGTGTTTCATTGTATTTTAAGAATTCTAAATAAAAAATCTATATATATAAAATTTTGTAACTTCCATTAGTCATTTGTTTGTTCATCATACCCTTTAAAATAGCCATACATTGACTGATCGAAACCAAATTTTGGGAAGAAGTGCAAACTGTTAAGTGGATACAAAGTACAGTTGGTTTTACAAGGGTGTGTAGTGTAGTACAATAAATGTTCATTAATTTTTTTTTTTTTTTTTTTTTTTTTTTTTTGGAAAAAGTAAAGTTTTATTATTTAACATACAATATACTCTCACTATTTTAAAAACAATTTAATGATTAAAATAACAAATACTTATTTAATAAAAATACAATATTTTTTTTTTGCATATCTTTTCTTTAAGGTCTTATATATCATCTATTGGCTTGCGAAATTGAAGGAAATGTAGAGTTTGTAAATGTTGAAAAAATGTTAGCGATAACTTCAACAATACTAAATACTGTGAGGATTTCAATAAGCATCAGCATGTCACAAGAAAATTCTAGTATCATATTTCAGAAATGGTTAGTTAATTGTCATTATTATGGGTTCCCTTAAACAGAAATTATTTATGACTCAATCTAGTAGATTGTATGCCTAAGGAAGACCTAAGAATGAATCAACTAAAACACTGTGATTAAAACAAAATGAAAGTGGTTAATAGTTTGAATAAAGCATCTAGTTATGCTCGATCTTTTATTGTGCAACATGGGGAATAAAAATATATCAGCCCAATCCTCCTTTCTTAAAGATGTCCTTGAAGACACTGAGAGAATTGTTTTCATTGGACAGTGTGTCATAACCATCTGACTTAGAGAATAAAGAAAGGACATATTTGAATAATGATTTAATAACTTTTACCTTGAAAACTTTATCTTGCCTTTGTGTTTTCTTAAAGCTTTTAATAATTTGAACTGGGAACACACTTACCTAAAAATGAGAAACTCTATAATACTCATCAAGACAAACATAACAATCCTTAGAAAAATTAAGTTTTATCTGAGTCTATAGAAGTTGAAATACAAAAATAAAATTTATTGTGCATACAGTGGGCCATCATATATGATCAGTTGGTTCTACAACAGATTGTGTTTTCAAAAACCCCACATGTTTAAAACCCTTATTTAAAATTGTCTCAGTACATTGATATTTTGGAAAGAGTCAGAAAATCAAGTTCTCCAGAGGTTGATGGTAGTGGAATTTCAAGAGCACAATGAGAGTTCACAGTTGCAGATTTCTTGGTTAAAAAAAAAATCAAGGAAGCTGCTGCTTCTTTTTTTGCTTTTTTTTTTGTACTTAGATTTGTCCCTCAACTATTTGCAGTGGCTTTAGGTCATCTGTAATCACATAGGGGATACATAGGTTTCATTTCATCAAAGCTCTTTGGTCATATTCTTCAGAACTTGTGGCTGTGAATGTTTCCAGAGTCCAATGTGATTGATAGACAACGATTTCTTCAGCTTTTTATTTTCCTGTTAGTAATTTTCTGGTTTTTGTCAGTTAGGATTTCTTGGTCCTCTTCAGTATATTATTTGACATCTTTCTCAATCATGTCCCTCCATTAAGGTTGCTCATAACCAGCAAATTCTCTTTCATTTTTCCATCAATTGTACAGAAGCCTTTGAAGTTGTTGACTTACTTGCTCCCTAATGCCTTCCAGCAGGCGTTGGTCTTCGGTTTTAGAACATCAACTCAGAAATAAGCTCAATTTGCATTTGCAATTGAAGCTCTTCCATAAATCTTTGATGTTGCTATATATGCCAGCATCAAGAGCAAGAGAAATCCTTGCAAAAGTAAGGCAAGTGTATGCTTCCTTTACACATTTCATCATGGCTGCAACAGTGAGATATTATATTTAGAAACAGGAATTTCACTTCAATGTTTTCATCATTATACATCAGGGATTTGGGATTTATGAGAACATTGATTACAGCTCTTTCATCTCAAGGTATTTCTTCACTTCAATTATAAAACTGTGTTTGGACCAATCGTGCAACAAAATGACTATGGGTTAAGCCTTATTTTTGCATTACTAAATATGAGCTGAATATTTTTGTTTTCTTCCTATGTTTTTTTTTCATCATTTCACCCCAAGCAAGACAATAAAGCTATGATAACACAAGGGATTGCTGAGAATGAAAGAGTCTGAGGAAAATATTATTAAGAAGAGAGGACAATAAAAGAACAGGAATTATGAAGACAAAAGTTTATAATTGACATTGCATTTAAATTTTTGAACATCAAAGTTGACTGGGAAGCAAGAAACCAGAGAGAGATCCCCAAGCGAGAAGTGCAAGAGAAGACACTGTTAACATAGAACTTATGGTTACATCTAGCGATTTCAACTGTAAAAGTATGAGACCTAGCTGTAAATCTAGTACTGTGCTTAAATTCATGAAGTCTAGGTACAAAAGAGAAAAATTAATTAGAACAATTACCATGAAAATATTTATAGAAAAGGCACAGGAAAACTGTTACAACAGCGAGAAAGTGACTGAAACCGAGATGGCAACATAACATTGCAAATTCTTTGGATTTTATCAAGTATCTCTAAATATATAGCAGAAACACCAGACCAGATATAATAGGAATATTCAATACATAGATGTATGATAGACTTGTAAATGTGCAAGATAAATTCTGGTGAGAAAAATTGGGCATGAAGTGTCTTTGTATAATAGGTTGAGCTTGTTATGTATCTACTGCTTTGCTGCATAGCACCAGAGAAAGACAATCTTTCCAAGCCTTAAATCTTTCACAGTTGAAGACTTGTTCTTGATGGTAGCATTTATCCTCAATTACTTCTTTTTGGAGTTTTCTGTGAATTTTGGTGCCACTTCTATATCAGATAATGTTGATTTTTCCATGATCTTGATATAGCAACACTTTATAAAGCTATCAAGCCATGCCATGCTAGCTTTAAACTCTTGACTCATTGACCTCCCAACATTCACTGCAGCTAAGTGCCTCTCCATGCAGAATGTTCCTATCAATCAGGACAAGCTTTTGCCCCAGGTTTTCTAAGCCATATACATTTCCCCTCAAACTTTATAAGGACTTTATCACGAACATTAGACACTCTTTTCATTGATGGAACTGAAACATTAACATTTTTCTTGAGTTTATTTTTTCTTTGTTTTATTGCACAAGTATTGAACTCATCCCCCACCCCACTTCACCCCATTTCCGTGTTTACTTAGGCCATTGACATGGTGGAAAACTGATTCAACATTTGCAACTTTTGTCGAAAAAATCCTCTGGCTTTTTGAGTCTTTTTATCATTGCTCTGAGTGCTTTAACCAACTGGTATTTGTTGGAGGGTGGGATATTTCTCATAGAAAAGGGTAATATAAAAGCCACAACACAATTTGTGAATACTACAAACAAAATATGTATAACAAAGATGTTAGGAAGTTTTTAATGTAAGAGAAAAAACTCAGGAGAATAATGACAATGGAAAGACTGAGAATTTTCTCTTTTACATTAGGTGATGTAATTTCATGTGGAATAAGACATTAAGAGTTTCAAAGCTATTTTTTAATTTTTCAAAATATTTTTAGTTGTTAAAAAACATATTATGTAAAACTGCATAAGGTGCAGTATCATGGCACATAAATATGAATGAATGTTCCAAATGTTCAAGCATGATATGTACAAATAATATATTGTATTATTACAATCCAGGAACAGGCTAAGATAAAGCATAGGTAATATGATTATAATTAGGATAGAGATTAAGATAAAACATAAGTGGCATTAAGTAGGGCACAAGCTAAGATAAAGTATGAGTGGTTAGGGGCTAAGCTAAGATTAAGCATTTTAGGTATTATAATTTGGAACAAAAAGAAAAGATTAAACATTAATTGCAAGAAGACAATGCATGTTTTATGATGTCAACAAATGCTCATTGGCACTTTTGTGATGTCAACGAACACTCGTTGACACTTTTGTCATGTCAACGGACACTCATTGTCACATTTGTAATGCTCATTGTAGTAGAGACTTTGTAATCACAGATACAACTATTGTATGCTGTTGAACAATGTTGGTGTCAGACTTCTTTGAATAACACTCTGACTAATAATTCTTGCTAGAAAAGTAATCTGTATAGAGAAATAGTATAGTGACTAGAGTAGAAATAGAAATTGATTAGATGTCAGCTACTAGGTATGCGTTTCTTCTA